CACATTAATCACCCATTTACTAGTTCGATCACATAAGGTTATATGTAAGTAAATTCTCGATTATCAAAATAACTTATAATCAACTATTTTCGTTTTATTCATAAATGCACCGTATATGTGATCCCAAGAATATTTCGGATGTACTTCAAGTTGATTATATTTAAGAAATTTAGTCCAGTGCTTAAACATTCGAAAGAAAATTAGTCATGAAGCATTCATTTCATAGTTAAACAAATATTCAGAAACCAAATAAACAAAAGTTTGAATTGGAAAAAAAACATAGAGAAAATTTGAGAAATGAACCTGCAAAATATTAGTGCCATTCTTGAAGTTTGTAAAAGATTCAAGAATTTGCTTATTGATAGCGTCAATTGATTTCTTCCAATTTGCACTGAACGATCGCACAATTGCAGTGACTTTCTCTGAAATATCTCATTCCACTGTTCTATTCTGATGCCACCATTCAACTGCTCAACAAGCTTAAACAACGAATCAAACAAGAATTTTGAATACAATCAAAAATTTCACACATATCACCATTATACGCAGAGCTCATTCAAATATTTCAAATGCTTCAAATGGTATAAGGCCATCATCATCTAATTACCCGAATATCGAATCAGCAGTTGTGTATGTCCTTGTTCGATGAGCGGTTCGCATTCGGTCACAAATGTGATCAACTCACCGAAATGCGGCCATAACATAGCCTCAACATAATCACTAACTCGCGTTTGTTGCAACTCCCAAAATGACGATTTCTCTTTTGATTCACATGTTACACGTTCCTGGAACGAGATAAAGTACACTGATGCCACTAATGTGCAACACATTACTACGTGCTATTCTTCTGCAAAATCAAAGCGCAATTCACGTTGCTCAATGCAATACAAGAAACAACATCGACCAGTACATGTAAAATAACATTTCCTAACAATAATCTTTGCAATCATACCAATTACTACGTTTAAAATTGCAGTAGTTTACCTCCAAAATATTGAGTATAACATCATAGTTATTGATTATGCATACAAGGCGATCGCTTGGATTCGGCAGTTGAGCCGAAAGGCGATTCAGCAACTGCTCAACTTCCGACTGTTGCCGACTTAAATGTCTCTGAAAATAGAATCGATGACGTTAACCCCAAAAGCAAGCAAACAAAAAACAACAGCATTTATCATATGAAGAACAAGAAATATCGCAATAAATCATAACATCGTGTTCCTGTTCTAAATGAACGAACGAATGTAATGCAGTAGCGATAACACACAAAACTGCACAATCCAAAGAATCGTGCGAACCTGTAATTTTGGTTCCACTTGTCTTCTGATCATCTGATTGCATACCAACAATGCACACGTGAATTCTGCATAGCGTCTGATAATCTACAAACATTCACAACATAATTGTTTTATCATGAATGTAATACACCCACAATACCGATCAATGTCTGGATAAAAGTTACGATATTTATTATTCAATATTCAATGTCTA